CTCAGGAAAGGAAAATGTCGGAAAACTCGGGGATGTCAGGACTAAATCTCCGGAAGGCCCAACGAACAAGGCCAAAGAAGTCATTCTCGAGCGAGGACTGCGGGCTACTAAGGCAACGGAGCAACCCCAAGACAAGAAAACTGTTTTAACTCACGTTAAGAAACTGGAAAAGGCGACCAAAGAAGTTCAGAGTGGAACGTCACTGGCGTTTCCGGGGAATTACTTCTGCCCACCGTCAAAAGAGGAGCTGGACGAAACAGAAAAGCGTGTTAACGAACCCATTTTTGGGACTTTTGACGTGTCTAGGCCTGTTGGCTCGAGGTGGAGGAGAGAGGGGGATCCAGAGAACATATACAGCGAGCCAGGCGCTCCGTCTATTAACCCTTTGCCAAAACCTCAGAGAACCTTCCAGCACCACACGCCGCCTTCTACCCCAATTTCAGGGCCCGGCTCCTGTAAGGGCAAGAGGACATTGCCTCCTTTGCCCTCCATTCCACCTCCGCCACTACCCACCTGCCCGCCTCCCGGAGTTTGCAGGAGACCGTGGACGGACAGATCACACGACAGCAACAACAGGTGAGACAGGATGGAATATATATTCACTTCTCGGAAGTGTTTTCATTACCGATGGAGTGGCGGGACCCAACGATGACATTATAACAGGAATGTGATGGGAGTTAAATTGAGTTAAATCACCCGTGCAACACAATCGAACAGCTCCAAATGATATCTGCTCGAAATCACAAGCACCAGGGCAGTGATCTCACCCAGTTTCTCGATCCCACAGAATTAGCTCACTGGCTGGATGTGAAAAATTGAAAAATGTACACATAACTCATTCCATCTTCTCGAGCTTCAGTGGAAGATGGAGCAGTGTGAGCCATGTCAAAGAGAGGCCCCTTGCTTCTCAAAAAAAAAAAAAAAAAGGCCTTGGAATAAAACCTATGTAAGGCCTTTTTCCACATTGCACAGATGTTACTGAGAATTGATTTGGCACAATAAGAAACTGTGTATGCAAAAGCACCCCCCCCCCCCCCCCCCCCCCTTCAACCTCTTCAATGACCTGGATTCTTGTGTACTTGAAGCTTGGCTTGGATCGGTTTCATTCCACACGGTATGTGGAGGCCGCACTCACTTCAAGTGTTCTCTATTCAATCTTTTGTTTGTTCTCCCAAATCTTTCCAGCCCGAGACTCCCAATTGCGCCCCCGTTTAGGAAATCCCATTCAAGACAAAATAAAAATGAACTGAAAATGATCTTGTGGGCCAGTGGTTAGTGCGTTGACCTCACAGTGCAGAGGTCGTGGGTTCGATCCCGGATCTGGACTTCCTGTGTGGAGTTTGCATGTTCTTCCCGTACCTGCGTGGGTTTTCTCCGGGTACTCCGGTTTCCTCCCACATTCCAAAAACATGCACGGCAGGCTGATAGAACACTCTAAATTATCCCAAGGGGTGATTGTGAGCGCGAATGGTTGTTCGTTTCCGTGTGCCCTGCGATTGGCTGGCAACCAGTTCAGGGTGTCCCCCGCCTACTGCCCGAAGACGGCTGGGATAGGCTCCGGCACCCCGCGCGACCCTCGTGAGGATAAGCGGATCGGAAAATGGATGGATGGATGATCTTTTGGGATGAATGGGCTTACATTTGATTGAAGTGGCCTTTGCAAAAAAAAAAAAAAAAACAGTCCAAAATTAAATCGTCTCGAAAGTGACGGCTAACATTCATTTGTCCACATCAAACGCAATTTAGTGTCACTACCGCGTATGAGCGTGGAGACAACTGTGAGGCTGGTGCTAACCACTAGCCGAAAAGTGCCGCATGTCGCATCATCACAACACTATTTTCCAGTTGCTATTTTTCATCATGATATTCATGTTTCCGTGTCCTCTTCAGGAAGTCTTACGAATTTGAGGACCTGCTCCAGTCGTCCTCACAAAGCTGCAGAGTTGACTGGTACGCTCAGTCCCGCCTGGGCCTCATACGCACTTTATCGGAGGAGAATGTCTACGAGGACATCATTGGTAAAAAAATATAAAAAAATTAAAATAAAAATATGCGTTTCTTTTTGCATGCGTGTCGCGGAGAGGGAACGATGAAGCGGTGAAGCGGTTTTTGCTCTGGTTTTAATTTAGAGCCACACTGCTCCGCTTTTATTAAAAATGAGATGCCAAAACCCGACCTACATTCCTGCCTTATTGTCTGCGGTGTTATACCAACCCCACCTCGAGCCTGTTTAATATCATAACGTATAATGGTGCTGTCGAACGCTCAAAGTTGACCGCTGGGATAAACCAGCAGGAGGTATTTTATTGGGCGAGAGTTACGGCGCATTACTGGCAATAGCGGTCAGTGTCATTGGCATGCGCCGTAATTATTGCTGGATGAAAATGAAGTTGAGTCAATTGAAGTTGGAAGTAGATTTCAGTGATTAAAATGATCCTTCATTGTTACCTCCTCCCAGCCGCTATTGAGCAAAATGATGTTTTGATCGCCATTGCGTGGACAATCCCACAAAAATGTGGCTGCTTTCTCGCCGTTTTGTGTGGCTTTATAGAGCAGTCCCAACTGGGAATCAAAATGGCACCCGGCGGCCATTTTATTTTTATTTTTTACATCTGATGTATTGTCAAGACACACTGAACCAGGAAGTGGCTTAACAAACAAGCAGGAATCTGTTTTTCTTGTTGCCACCCCCCTCCCCCCCA